TAGTCTACGAGAGCTTCGCAATCTGCGGTTGTGGAAATGGTAGGAACTCTAAAACAAGGTCGCATTCAGGCACTGAGGGAACTCGTTGCCCCTACTGGACCTTGCCCCCCTACCCAATGACGGAGTAAAAAAGGGATACTACTGTGAAATGCCCCTAGTGGAACTAGGCTCTAAGATCAAGTGTAGTATCTGTTCTGATCCATGCAGATGGGCTTGAAATGCACAAACAGGGAGTGGTGGTACATTGAAAGCCTCTGGAGCGCCCTGTCTCTGGAGTCTGAGGCCCAGCCCCCAACTGTTACTACGTGTTACTACGCTCGTGCTAGAAAGCCTGAACCTGGTCGTAAGGAGCGGTGGGTTCGTTTCTTAACACGTGCTAAAAAGCCTGAACGTGGTCATAAAGAACGGCAGGTTCGTTTCTTCTTTGCACGAACATTGCCGCTCTCCGAATTGTAGAAAAAAAGAGAAAAAAATTGTAGCCCCGCCCGCCCAATTTAAGTACCCGTTCCCAAAAAAAAAATAAAAAATAAAAAAAATAAGTACCCGAACTTCTTGGATAGAATCTGGCCGGTATTTTCTGTGAGATACATGTCGGAAATTCCTCGTGTTATTTAAAAAAAGAAAAAAAGAAATTCCTTGTATGCAAAAAAAAAAAGAAAAAAAAAAGGGTAACTTCGGCGCAGTCACGAAAACAGTTTGTAATTGCACTTCAGGCAATCCCGCAAATACAACACACCCCCACGCGACCCCACCGGACCCGGAATGTAGGTCATATACATTCAGCATTACCGGCCCTTTTGCCTCAAGTGCAATTACAAACTCAAAACCTGACTGCACTGTAGTTTTCTCAAAAAAAAATTATGTCGCTGTATCTGTCCATGTTCTAGCGGAAGATTCACTCTCGTTTTGCACCTTTCAAGAGTAGTGCAGCGAGTCCCGCAGTCGCTCGCAGAATCACAATGACCGGCCGCCAGTCTGCGCCAGATAAGGGGCCTCGCTGCTCTACTCTCAAAATGTGCAAAACGAGAGTGAATCTTCCGCTAGAATATGGAAAGATACATCGGCAATATTTTTGTCTTTTGTGCATGTCCAGGTTTTTTTTTTCATGCACATCTCCACAATCATGGCCACTCATTCAGTTGAAAAAAAAAAAAAAACTCGCAACAAAAAAAACTCGCAAAGGATTCAGTCAGTCCGCCCAAAAGGATTCAGCCAGTTGGCCTCCGTTGATCTCCCAATGTATGTAACGAGTAGCAAAACGAGAGTGAATCTTCCGCTAGAGTATGGAAAGATACACCGACAATATTTTTGTCTTTTGTGCATGTCCAGGTTTTTTTTTTCATGCACATCTCCACAAACATGGCCACTCATTCAGTTGAAAAAAAAAAAAAAACTCGCAACAAAAAAAACTCGCAAAGGATTCAGTCAGTCCGCCCAAAAGGATTCAGCCAGTTGGCCTCCGTTGATCTCCCAATGTATGTACTCGGTCGGGCGATGGGGCGACGCCCTATTACCCACTTACACCTATTTTATACCCACTTACGCCTATTTTTCAGGCCTAGTTATACCCTCCTTGAGGTGTTTTTTTTTTCCTTCTTCTCCCCTGAGGCCTGACCACCACCCTTTACCACACCCTGGACCATTTTCAAAAACAAAAAGGAAAACAAAAGGAAAGAACCCCAGGGGTCAGGTCCCACCTAACGTTGTTGAGTTTAGAAAACTCAACGGTGTGACGCCATGTCGACATTAATAAATTCGAAACAACAAATAAAAAAACTGAAAAAAACGCTAGAAACAGCTTTTCTCCTTATTTTTTATAACGTAACTGGGAGAAATGAAACATGTCTGTAACAGTCGGAGTGAACGTCTTCGTGAAAAAAGGATACTCCCCGTGGTGAGGGGACAGGAGGTCACCATTTGTAAAATGGACAGGGACGACGTGGATGGCCAAATGCATTCATTGCCCAAAGAAGGAAACGAGTTTGATGCCAGACAGCCAAAGACAGCTGTCAGAGTTCCTCCGTTTCAGGACGCAATGAGGAGTAAAAAAACAAAAAAAAGGAAAGGCACTGCCGCTGAGAAATGTACCCTACCCTCCGCAGGGTGATTTTCTCAACGGAAAATGGCTTCCCGCCCAAACCAAAAGGGCCAACGCCTTATTGCAGATAGCTGCACCCTATCTGCTCTATATTGCTAGTTTTTTCGAGGTGAATTCTATTCGCCTGATGGGAATATGTGTGTTATGTATCTGACTTTAATTGTAAGCACTCTTCATGCACGATTATGTCGACAGCCTCTCTACTTCCTTCTGGCTGGGCTGTGCCAGCGGAGGAAACTAGGTTACAACGGGAAATCCGCTCGTTCTGCTTCTCTCATGTGGGTGTAGTAGGGTTTGGATTTTGGCTATGCGGGCAGAAACTCTATCTTGTACCTGACGGAGTTATAGGTTAGATCCATGCGCTTCCCTAATTTGAATTGAGAAGTCGGTCTCCAGCCCCACCAGCGGATCAATGTGTATTCCTGTACTGTAGTGGGTGCTTGAGCACAGCCTGGCTCATCGAGGTGCAGTTTTGGATAGTAGACATGTTTCCCTATTCGGCTGTCCTTACAGAAGTATCATGGGCGAGGCTTATTTTCATGCGACGGGAGAGCTTGTTGTTACACCCAGGTGGAGTTTCTCTGCCCACAGACTTTTTGCTCTTTGAGGGTCTCTGAAGCTCCGCTTTACGTGGCTGCTGTAAGCTCCGAAGCCCTATGGAGTTTAGAGTTGTCTACGTAACTGGTTTTGTATTGTTTATGCTGTTAATGTTGTTTATTGTATTCGAATTGTGTAGAATCACGGTAGATTCTTGAAGTCTGTCTGGGTTTGTCCATGTGGTAAGCTCCGGGGTTATCCCCTGTTGATTGTCGATCTTGTCGATCTATTCTGTCTACTAGGAGAAATCGCAATCACCTCGTGAAAATTGGTTGTTCTCTAAGCCTAAGGAATAGTGTACCCTCGGTTAATCTGGGAATTTCTGTGCAGGCTGGGTCGGTGAAGCTCCGAAGTCCTTTGGGGTGGAGGCACCATTAGTGGGTGTGGGAGTCTTACTAGTGGCGGTGGGAACGTTGCCCGGAGAATTGGACCTTCTATACGTGGCTTCTCTAAGCCCCGAACCCTATGGGATTTAGGGTTGTATACGTAGCTGAATTTTGACCTGTTTAGGATGCTCCCMTCTTTTTTTGTATTTGAATTGATAGGGTCTTTAATTTTAATGTTCTAATGGTTTATTTTCGGGGGATAACATTAGTACGTTTAGTTTAAATTTATTTACGTTTTGGGTCTGAAACATGGAATTGGACTGTACTTAGGAATTTAGTTCGCCTTTGGAAATAGTTATAGGGTCATAACCGTAAAATTTTCGTGTTGCCCTGTGCACTTTAGAAGTTTTGCCCTTAGTGGACTATAACTTGTAGTATTTCTGCCATTAGTGTGTCGATTTTAGAATCACGCTGGCTTCTTCCTGTGCAGCATGGATAAGTATGTGATAGGCTGAAGGAATCGAGACCTTTGTCATGTTCAGTTCAGCCACCTTTTCTGGGCTTCAAGGCTATCTTGAGGAGTTTTCTTCTATTTGAGTTTGCTTGGTCTTGGGACGCTGGACCCGGTTTCCAGCAGGGTTCTCTTGATAACACCGGGTAGAATTGTGAGGTCCCCGGCCTCGACCACTCTTGTTTGGAAATATAAAGCGACAACTTCTCAAAAAAAAAAGAAAAAAAAAAAGGGCCAACGCATACTGCAAAACGGATTTCACGTCAAAGAAAAATTCTACAAAATGACTAAATCTAATAGGTTATTCTCCTGTATTTTGGTACCGTTAGCTTCGCAAACATCAACGGCAGAGCTCAGTCCCACCATGCCACACATGATAGAAAGCGCAGCGTTGAGAAAACTCAAAGCTGTAGGTGGGACTAGACCCCAGGGGCAAGTCCCACTACCTGGTACTCGAATACAATGTACGTACGTTGTACAACGAATATTGGGGTAAAGTTGTACCCCAATATGAAAAATTTTAAAAATTAGTAAAAGAAAAAAATGAAAAATAAGAAAAATGAAAGAGGGGGAGCATGGTATCTGGCTGTGTCGGGAGGTTCCCGGGTATCTGGGTTGCTGTCTGTCGGGGCAACACTCAGTCCACATACAGAAGTAAGTGGAGATGTTAGTTTTCCTTTGTAGAGGGTACGTTGTATTCGAGCGTGCGCGATTTCTCAGAGGCCATTTTTCAGAGGTAAGTTGAATACAACGTACGTATGTTGTTTTCGGGTTCAGACGGTTGCAGCGTTGAGCTACCTCAACGCCTGAATCTGGACGTGTTAGTGGAGACGTGCAGAAATGGTGTTGAGTTTCCCGAACTGCACCTTTCCACAAAGACGTCCAGATTCAGGTGTTGAGGTAGCTCAACGCTGGGATGGGTGGAAACCGCGCGCGAGAAAGAAAAAAGAACTTAAAAAAGAAACCGCGCGCGCAAATCCTTTCCTTTTCTTGCCTGCTGCTGTGTGCACGTTTGCCTACCGGCGGTCGTCGGAACCGGTCGTTCCAGCCTACCGCCTCGAAGTAAGCGCTTGCAGCCGGTCGCCCGGTGTGTGCTGTGGCCATTCCCGTCCGGTCATCGGCGCAGCGGTCGTTGAAGGGATGGGAAGAGGTTAGGCGGCTGTGGAGAGCGTCATGTGCGAGCAACAAGGTTCCACGCACCTGGCCCGATTCTGGGCTTCTAGCGGCTGATCCCCAAAATCTATGGTCCAGAGAAATGGGAGGTCTATCCTGACGAAGGGACCTTGGCTCCAGGACAAAAATGAAGCTTGGCTATGGTGTAGGTGTACATATATTTATCTGTATATATATATATAGAGAGAGGAGATGGCGGGAATAACGAAATTGAATGCCAATTTTTAACGGCGCAAAAATGCAGTTCAGCAGAGCATGGCCCCTGCGCTGCGCTTGAAGGAGGACACGCGTAAGGGCATATAGTCACACTGGGACTTTTTTTCTTACTTATTTCTGGACGTGATTGCGTCGGATGTATCCGTGTATAGAGCTGTAATTACGGTCAGATACATTTAAGATTGTGCTGGTGTGAGTATGCTCTAACTCGAGAAATGGAAGTTGACATCATGGCGTGAGAAAAAAGAGAGGAAAAAAAAAAAAGAAAAAAAAAAAGAGAGAAAAGACTGTCATGAGAAAAAAGGGAGAAAGGGCTGACACGTGGCGGCTGGTCCTTGGTTCGTTGTCGGCTGTCTATACGTTTGTTTGATAGAACGGCTACCTTAGCTAGCAGCCATTACTGTTTCACTCTCTGCTTTGGGAGGACAGATCGGCATCTTCGTGGCCGCCATAGCTTCTAGCTTCGGCCAGCTATCGAAGACAGCCATAACCGGCTATGGCCGACTATAGGCGGCCGTAGCCGGCCCCGTCATCATCCTCCATAGCCAGGCATCGTGATCGTCATCCTCCATAGCCAGCGTTTGCTATTCTCCGAAGCCGCCCATCGCCGACTCCCTTAGCCGGCTAAGCGAACTCGGTGGAGAGAGAGAGAGAGAGAGAGAGAGAGAGAGAGAGAGAGAGAGAGAGAGAGAGAGAGAGAGAAGGATGTCGGGAGTTTACTCCTCCGTTGGGAGAGTGGCTCGTGGTGTGATTAATTGCACCATTGGAGCATGGAAACGGATAGGATACACCATAGCCAACGCTGCGATCGGGATCGGGACTGGGAGATACTCATCGATAGCGTCTTCGTCTTCGTCTTCTTTTCCCACTGCCATTGGTTCTGACGTGTCTGCCACGTCAGCATCACTTATCGGCAGATTACAGTCCACAGTGGCAAGATCAGGTCCAGCTCATAACAACCTGCCTGGTGCTGCCGTCGGAGGAGGAGGAGGAGGAGGTGGGGTAACCACTGCCTCTTTCGTTCGGCGCGCTTTGCCTCTCCATTTTCCCTTTTCTTCGTGGCTGCCTTGGGCGGCTAGATCTCTGACGACCGCCATCGCTTCCAAAAAGATAGGAGGAGCAGCAGCTTCCTCTGCCGTCGGCAATGCTCATCAATGGGAGGAAGCAATCTTTACACGTGTCACCGATCCAAGCTTCCTAAGCTATGCTGACGTCAACAAATACTTCGTGCTCAGGTACGTCACACTTGGCGGCAACTTTTTCTTCCTCCTCTTTTCTCCTCTTTTCTCCTCTTCCTCCTCCTCCTCCTCCTCTTCGTCTTTTCTCCTCTTTCTCCTCCTCTTTTTTCTCCTCTTTTTCCTCCATTTCCTCGCCCCGCTCCTCTCTTTTCTCCTCTTCCTCCTCGTCCTCCCTTCCTCCTCTCTTTTTCTCCTCCTCCTCGTGTTCTTCCCCCCCCCCCCCCCCCCCCTCTTTTTCCTCCTC